ATAAAGCATATTAGGTAAGAATGAAATCTACTTTAGTCTTTTGAAAAGATGATGTTTTACTTTTGCTTAATTTTCAATATAATATTATGCGAATAATTTATTTGTATAATTTTTTTCAAAAATTATTTTATAGTATAAACTGTATCAATTTATAAAATACTCTCAAACCAATTCAAACTTAAGTGCTTTTTAGTATTTCCAAAAAAGAAAACACTCCCAAACAGACACATAGAAATTTCCTTTGTATTTTTATCCATAATTAGTATATACTTTGTTTTTTATTATCCGAATGCCAATAATAGTGGTCGAAAGGCCAGCCATCTAGTGGCCTAGTGCTCACTCTAAAGGTGAGTTGACTCAAATTGGGCACTTGGGTGCAGGTCAAGTCCACCCTACCATTGTGCTGCATCATGCTCTTCTACCACTTGGGCAAAGACCTTCATTTCTTTGCAAAACTACAAGACTAGGTTCGAGATTGCTTGATGGAAGACCTTAATAAGTGTTGTTGTAGATCTTATGCTACTAAATGGTTTTTTTTCCCCTAACGATAGAGGTATCACTCGAATCTCATATTTCAAATTTAATATGAAAATACTTTTATAAGAGATTAATAATCACTAAATCATAAGGTTGTTCTCATGTCACTAAATAGTTTTTAGTGTTTTATATTAATAAAAAAAATATTATATAGTTTAAATAATTTTTAGTGTTTTTATTTACATAACTTTAATTTTTTTATGCTTATATAATTTTAATTATTAAATACAAATAATTTATTAATATTAAAACTTATTTATTTAATAATTTTTGTTTTATAATTTCATACCATCTAAATAATAAAATAAAAAACTCATATTACCATCTTATAAGCCCAACAAAATAATAATAATAATAATAATAATAATAATAATAATAATAGAAGAAGTAGTGCGCGCCCTACAAAATATAATGGAGCATTCTAAAGTGGTAATGTTCTCGTCGGCTACTACATATCCAAGACATAAGGTACAAAATTTTTAAAAAAAAAAAAAAAAAAAGACATAAGGTACAAAATAGCTGAACATTGAAAATCTTAGAAAGAGAAACAATTGGCTATATAGACTTCAAAACGAAATCTTGATCCCAATTGTCTCTTGCGTTCTTGTACTTTAGTTGTACTGTCAAAACACATCCAATATGGTATCTCTCTCAAATATCCAAAGTTATTCTAATGGATTTCTGCATCAATCCTGGTGATTAGAACAGAGAAGACCATTTTCAGATCATTGATCCTGATTCCTGATACATACTGCCATCCATGGAGGCTTAACATTCCTTCAATTCCTCTTTGTTGATACTCAAAAGCAATGTAAATCCATCATTGAGATCCATCCAGCATAGCCATCCCACTCCGAATCACCAGACATCAACAACACCCCAAAACCCCAAAACCACTTCGATTAGATGCTACAAATCATAAATTGAGAAATTTTACGTGTAATTAAGGAAGCAACTTTTACTTGTTTACTAGTTATAGATATGAACTTTTTTTTCTTTATTACTTAAAAATGTAAACTTTCATAAGTTAATAATTAGGAATGTGCATTTTGTGTATTTAGGATTTTTTTTTTTTTTGAACAAAGAAAATTTTGAAAAAGAAAAAAAATATTACAATTGTCTCCATTGAAACTTGAATTTTAATATGAGTCAAGATTTTTGTTACACATTGTTAGCCTAACCGGAGCCGATTGTGCGTATTTAGGATTATTTAGATGTTGATGATGATTGTCGAGTTACTAATCAACAGATTAATCCTAATTTGCGTTCACCATGTATGATCAGGTTTTGAGTTGCTGATTTCTGCCTTTCTAATAAAAATTTATCAATCGGACTTATGAAAATTAAGAAAATAAAAAAGTATTGTATAATTTTAACCATATAATATTTACTATTAGAGGAGAATAGATTGTTTAATATCTTATACAAAACAAAAACCTTTTACTAATTAAAAATAATTAAAATTATAATATTATATAAATCCAACAGGTAAACATTATAAAAAAAAATTATACAAATAAATTATTCGCAAAATATTACATTGAAAATTAAGCAAAAGTAAAACATCATCTTTTCAAAAGACTAAAGTAGATTTCATTCTTACCTAATATGCTTTATCGCTTTGCAGAAACTGGGATCGTCCATATTGTATTAGCTCAGCAAACGGCGTTTATACCCGCGTTTATTCCTAAACCTCTCGTTTCGCATTCGATTCTTGCTCAATTTAGGCCGTCGCTCCTTAGGGCTTTACACACCTTCTGTCTGTCTCCAATTCAATCCAAGGCAGCGCCTTGCACCGTCTCTCTCTCTCTCTTTCCCGGTGCCGCCACACCCGCCATGTCTCAGGTACATTGCGTTCCGCAAACCCTTCTTGATCTTACAGCTTGTTCGAATAGCTACCGTCTTTTTTTTTTTTTTCCATTAAATTTTTAGGAATTTCGATGTTGAAAACTGGTTTTTTTTCTTCAATATAAGGCCTATTATTGCTCTCATACTCGATTTATTATTCCAATTAGTTCGGTATATTGCTTTTGCAAATTAATTGTGATTGTAATTCTTGTTTTTTTTTTTACGTATTCTTCTATTTTATTGAGAAATTCGGTTTCTCCTTGGACTAAGGAGTTAAACTCTGTTTGGATGGAGCTGAATTGGGATTTATATCTTGGGTTTGGTTTTTCTTGTTATCTTTAGTTTAAAACTAGTGATTAAACTGTGTTGCTTGGTGTTCAGGTGGACAACAGAAACTCCTCTGCGGCCAAGCGTGCTAGAACTGATGGTATGCTAGATTGTGTTTTATATTGTTTTGTTTCATGGATGTATTAGTGTGGTGTTTGATTTCATTGTTGTGGTTGGGAAAATTCCCTTGTTATTTGTAGGCAGTCGTAGGGAAGATGATTGGACCTGCCCCAGCTGTGGCAATGTCAATTTTTCGTTTCGGACTACTTGTAATATGCGCAATTGCACTCAACCGAGGCCAGCTGATCATAACTCGGTAAGTCCTTGGAATGATATCTATCATATAGCTGATATGAGATTCACATGTTTGTATTCACACTCAGATGAGTTGCTAATAATAAAGTAATGTATTAGTTGTGGGAAGGTTAGATTTTATGATATTCTGATTGAAATTATGCTAACACCTCTTTCAATAAAAGGACTGGGTCCAAAAGGGAGAAGCTCCCAAATGCCCTTATTGATTTATTTTTATCATTATGTTCATAATCATACCTAAATATGCCTTTTACTTAAGATATCCTCTGCTTTTACTGGGTCTTTACTCCTTTTAATTAGTTCTTAATCTTGATGATTATCACTCATCAGGCTCTGCTAATATAGTATGGCCTTTCACAGTGCTTTGAGACACTAATTTTCTTCTTAGTATTCTGTTCTTAAGATTAATTTTTATGTTATAATGCCGTCCATTTTTCCAACAGAAATCTGCTGCCAAGCCTGTCCAGGCACCTCAGAATTACTCATCAACAGCACCTTATGTGGGTTCAGGTCCACCTGCTTCGATGTATTTGGGTGTGCCACCTTATGGTTCTTCCCTCTTCAATGGATCCTCTATTCCTCCTCCATATGACATTCCTTTCTCTGGTGCCTCGGCCTATCATTACAATTATGGCAGCCGCATATCTGGTGGCAGTCCTTATAGACCACTGCACATGTCTGGACCACCACCCCATTATTCTGGCGGATCCATAATTGGAAATGGTGTGTTTTGATGCCTTCTTAGTCCTTAATTTTCTCCTGTTATACCTGCAAGAGTGATCCTGATTTGTGTTTTTCAGTTATTTGCTCTATTGTCCCTTACACACTCCTGGGAAGTTTTTTCTTTTCATTTTTAATTAACATGCTTGGGAAGCTAAATATGCTTTTTTTTTTTCTTCAATTTTCACTTATGCCACACACTAGTCAACTTGACTAGATCAACTTTGAAATTCATGACTGTAAGACATGCCCAACCTTCTTTTTAATTGTGTCATTGGACCTTAAGTTAATTTTTAATAGCTCATTAATAAGCAAGTTAATTCATTTTATTTTTCAGGTGGGATGTATGGGATGCCCCCATTGATGGACCGATATGGCTTGGGCTTGCCAATGGCCCCTCCACCAATGGTATGTACTGAAGTTCAACTTTAGTTTGAATTGGTTGCTAAGACTAACATTAGTTTGTGCATGTTATTTCAAGTTCATTTTTTCTGAATGAACCTTATGGCCTGTGAGGCACTAAAGAGGGGGGTTTCATCCATGAAACCAAGACTAATTAATAATTTAAGATGTAAATTGATAACAATTGTTCCTTCCTTTGACTGTGCATATAAATGTGGTTCTGCCAGCCAGCTACACACAATTAACTAACTGCTCTTGCAAAATTGATCTAATGAACCTTGCTCTCTTCTCGTGGGGAAGCATCTAATTTTTTAAGCTTTTGGTAGAGAGAGATTGCTTTGTACATCAGATTGAAGATATAAGTTCAATTTTTCTGTTTCTGCAGGGACCAAGACCAGCATTTTATCCAGATGATAAATCTCAGAAAAAAGGTGAGGCAGACTGTTTGTTTGCTGGGCAGCGTGGCAACCTTGTTTTTTAACACAATTACTTCCTTTTCTATATCTCCAGATGCAGCACGTGATAATGACTGGACATGCCCAAAATGTGGAAATGTCAACTTCTCTTTCCGAACTGTTTGTAACATGAGGAAGTGCAATACACCAAAGCCTGGATCACAGGTCTGTGGGATTATATTTAATAGTTTTTCTGTTGTCTGAATTCCTGATATATGTATAGGTTCTGTCATTTATTTAAGCTGTCTCTGCTCATGGATATTGAAAATCATATATTTTGTAATAGAATATTCATTCAATACTTCTTCTGACTTAATGATATTCTCTTGAAATGCAGGCTGCAAAATCAGAAAAGAATTCCAGTAAGTAATTTTAAATCTTTAAACATATTTGAGATTGTGTTTTTAATTTTTATTTATAATACATATGCATGTCTATCATGGTTTTCAGAGCAAAAGATGCCCGAAGGTAGCTGGAAGTGTGAGAAGTGTAACAACATAAACTTTCCATTCAGGACCAAGTGCAACAGGCAGAATTGTGGGGCTGACAAACCTGCTGAGACAAAGAAGTCTCCTTCACCAGCACCAAGTGAAAATGATCAGGTTTGTTGTCTGATGCATTTTCTTTGTATTTCAATATTTTGCTTAAAACTTTTGTCTCTTGTACATCCTATATGTAGAAACTACAACTCAATAAACAATCAATGTCACATTCAAACATTTTCTTTTAAGGCTTCTTCCTCCTTCATAGACATTCTTTTCTTGCCTTCTTTGTTCGTTCTTTGCATGTGCCTTAATAACTTTTTGGTGCCTTTGCATCCAGTGATTTGCAATTGTCTACTGTTCCAGTGAGTACTAGGGCATGTTTGAGGGTTGAGAAGGTCCAGAGTTGTCATCCAGCATTGCTCAATATGGGTGGGTGTCTGAAAGTCAGTCTTGTCGTCCTCATGTTGCAGCGGTTGTCAAGTTACTCTACTTTCTCATGATCAGTGTCCAGTTGTTGTACTAATGCTTTGGTACCTATGGTCTTAATGGATCCTTGATGCATTATGTTATGTGTCAACCATGTTAATTTGGAAAAAGTATTTTACAGGTTGGTTGTGGTTTCTATTAGTTAGGTTTTGTACTTTCGGAATCAACTCATCTTTTCTAGTAGGTTTGTTATCTTGGATTTTAGATATCTTGGTAGTGGCAAGATGATACAGGCTGCAAGATCCTGGTTTTGATTTGGTTTTATAATGTCTCTGCTGAGTTAGCCGTAGAAGCTTCTTTCAGAAGCATATGGAGTATTCAACTTCCTAATTTATTTTGTATCTCCTGCATGAAAGTCTTGGGTTATAGAATGTGTCTGGCCATTATATAGTTGCCTATAGGATATGATTACCTCTTTCTTTCACGTTGTTGCCTCTGGTGTGATCCAGGTATGGATCTATTCTCGTGATTTTTAAGGATTCTCTACATTACTCAAAGATTACTTCTAGTTTCATGCAACCAGGAATTTCTCAGGGAGACATTTGCCCAAAGAGTACTTCCTATTCTTACATCATTCTGGTCCATTAATCTGTTGTATGGTATTCCCATCATAGGGGATAAATTTATATCCCCATGGCAACTCAAGAAACTGTTGTCCTGTTGGGTACATGAAGGTTCCTGTTTGAGGATCTGTTTTAGTATGTGAGGCTTGTGGGATGCCATGACGCCTTGTTGGTAACTGATTATGAGGAATTTCGGATCCTTATAGAAGATTAGAGTCAGTCTGTATGTTATGTGTATGGCCTTCTAGATGGTGTTGCTTGTCATTTTTTTTTTTTTAAATAATTTTGGCCAAAGATAGTACTTTGGCTTAAGAGGTATTTGTTTTAATTTGTTAAAAAATAGCTATTAACTGTTGGTTTTAATCAAATGAGTTAAATATTTTGAATTATAAATATTAATAGTTATCAGTCATCAAATATCAACTATCAGTTATCAATTATAATAATTATCAGTTGGTTGGAAAACACTAATGCAAAGACTGTTAGTGGGCCAAACATTAACTGTTTTGGTGTTTATTCAAATATTCATCCATGTCAACGCTCCAGCTTACTGTTGTAGTGCTTTTACCTGAAGGAATCATAAAATTCCTCATGGTTGGGTCTACTGGGTAGGTTAGCGCTTAGGAAAATTAAGAGTCTGTTTAGTTTTATTATAATTTTGTTTTTTATTTTTATAAATTTTACGATTTTAAATAGAAAATTTTGTTTTTTTTAAACATTATTATTATTAAATAATTAGATAATTTTATATTTTTTATTACTATTGTTAAATTTTGTTTAAATAAATTATTTT